GCCAGTGTGAGAAGCCGACAGTCACCAGCATCACCATGGATTCTATGACAGTGAACTGGGAGGAACCAGAGGACGACGGTGGTACCCCCATCACTGGCTACTGGCTGGAGCGTAAAGAAACCACAGGCAAACGCTGGACTCGCGTCACCCGCGACCCCATCCGTCCCATGGGCATGGGCGAGTCGTTCGTGGTGAGCGGACTTATTGAGGGCTCCCAGTACCTGTTTAGGGTCACTGCCATCAATGCTGCTGGACCCGGACTCGCCAGCCCCCCCACAGACCCCATCTTTGCCAGAGACCCCATCTGTAAGTCGCATTCTTAAAAATAGAAAACGTTCATGTTTTAAACACAAAGTGACATGTTAACCACCTGTCATCCTCTCCCATAGCTCCGCCCTCTCCTCCAACCCCTAAGGTTTCTGATTGGACGAAGTCCACAGTGGACCTTCATTGGATCCCTCCCCTGAAGGACGGAGGCTCGAAGATCCTTGGCTACTGGGTGGAGTATAAGGAGGAGGGCACAGAGGCCTGGGTCAAGGTGAGAGGAAACACCTGAGCTGTTTTTTTAGGCTTGAAAAAAAGTCTGATAGTGTTAATTTAATCAACATGTGGTAAATTCTGCTGAGTCACAGTTTCTGCTTAAATCTTCTCTTTAGTTTCAAGTTGAGTTAAACAAAAATCATCTTAGATTAAAGATTCATCTTCAGAAAAGATAAAGAACATGTGAATCAAAGAACTGATTTTTTTATTGTTGTGGACCAACAGCAATAAATCAAAAGACGCTGATATTAATTTATTTTCTCTCAGTGTTGAACAATGTGATTATTATGTTGTAAGAAAAGAATCTCAACCTTAGAAACTGAATGTTTGTGTTTTTCAGGCGAAGGAAACTGAAATTCGTGGCACTCGTTTTGTGATCACTGGTCTGAAGACTGGCGGTCAGTACAGGTTCAGGGTAATCGCCTTCAATGCTGCCGGTAATGGTGAGCCAGGTGAAGTCCTGGAGGTGCTCGAGGTCAATGACAGAACCAGTGAGTTGAGGGTCATGAATTTATTTAACCAATCAAATCTTTGTTCTCTCAATGAAAAGCAATGAGAGAAACATCTGGATGTTCTGTAATGTAGAATTTCTTCCCTTCAGTTGCTCCTGAAGTCGACCTGGATGCTTCAGTCAAGGAGAGGATGGTGGTCCACGCCGGTGGTGTGATCCGCATCATCGCCTACGTGTCTGGCCAGCCGTCCCCAGACGTTAACTGGAGTAGAGATGGAGCTGCACTGCCGCCTGAAGCCAAAGTGGAGACGACAGCCATCAGCTCGTCTCTGGTTATCAAACCCTGCACTAGGAGACACCTGGGCATTTATACACTGACTGCCAAGAACGCAGGAGGCGAGAAGACAAAGAATGTCACTGTGGAAGTTCTGGGTGAGTTTCAGATTTGATAAGAATGAAATATTTAGTCACATGGAAACAATGAAATGCTGTTTCTTTTCATTAAACCTGGTTGTCGTCCCTCAGACGTCCCTGGACCTGTTGGTATCCCCTTCACTGCAGAGAACCTGAGCACTGACTCCTGCAAGCTCAACTGGTTCTTCCCCGAGAACGATGGCGGCTCCCCCATCAGTAACTACATCATTGAGAAGCGTGAGGCTGAGCGTAAGGCCTGGACCTCGCTCTCCTACACCGCCAGCAGACAGAACGCCGTAGCTCATAACCTCACCTATGGAAAGGCCTACTTCTTCAGAGTGGCTGCAGAGAATGCCATCGGTATTGGACGCTTCGTGGAGACTGCAGCTGAAGTTGTGGTCAAGGAACCCATGAGTGAGTTTACTTAAATAGATAAGTGTTAAGAAATTAGAACTTTAATTGATTGATTGTTTAACTTTGCTCACAAATAAAATTTCAACAGAAAATGACAAAACCCATCAATAGCTAAAATAGTTCCATCTTCAGGAATAAAAAGAATAATTTCTTTCAGGTGTGCCTGAACGCCCTGAGGAGCTGGAGGTCACTAAGGTGACCAAGGACTTGATCAGCCTCACCTGGAAGGCACCCAAGTTTGATGGCGGCTCAGAAATCACCATGTACATCCTGGAGGCCCGTATGATTGGCAAAGACAAGTTCACCAGACTGACGAAGGAGAAGTTGATGGAGAGAAAATTCACCTTTGACGGCCTGAGGGAGGGCGATACCTACGAATTCAGGGTCATCGCCGTCAATGAGGTCGGACCCAGTAAACCATCATTCTGCACCAAACCAATCACCTGCAAGAACGAACTGGGTGAGGGCTTAGTAGAAACAGTCTTGTATATTATAATTAGTTTTTTTATTGATTGACAGCAATTAGCTTTGGTTGATTTGGAACTGAACCCACAGAAACTGAAAATACTGCCGATCTGTTCCATTTGAAGCATTAGGAGGTCAAAGGTCTCCTCAGAAATAATACTGAACATGTTTTGATTTGGAAGGAACAAGCCAGTATTATCAACAATAAGTAAAGGTGCATTGAAAGTTAAAGCTGCAACCAATGATAACTCATGTAAGTGAGGTACTGGAAGTATTTCATATCATATCAGGTCGTTATTCAATTACATTTTACAA